CCGGGGACCGCCAACGTTAGGAAAATAAAAAAAGTGCTCCGCCGCTCTCTTTCGATTTGTTCGATAAGTGCACAGTCCCAATACATTAGTCTAATTCCGGTTACTGAGTGCTTTAGAGGACAGCGCCGATTACCCTTGCATGTCTTTTGTTTGTGCTTTGTCTCGCTTGTCAGTATAGCAGACCACCCCTTGAACCATACCCGTACAAAATTTTTTCCCGTACAAAGCCCTCCGGTGTTGGCTTCAAAGTTTGGAAAAGCATTCGGAGGTGTGGGAAAGGACAACCCTAAGCCCCTGATTGCCTAAACCCTCGACCCAGCCCACAAAGCCGAGGGTGTAAGATATCCCTAGCTCCTAGGGCCACCTTTGAACGCGCTGCGGCCTCAAAGTAGGCTTCGGGTGCTACCAGCACACCATGCGATGTTCTTGGCAACATTTCGCGGCAGCTGTAAAGCTGCTCTCAGTCTCACTGCCTTGCATGTGCCCGACGACCCCAGCTCAAGTTTCGAGTGATCTGGTCTTGCGGAGCGAAGGCAACCGGTATGTCGTTGAGAGCACAAGATTCGATCAGCAGACGGCAGCATTCGAAAAGCTGTTTTCCGCAAGGTGCGTCCGACACCGCATATTGCAGACAGGTAGTGCTCTTGTTCTCTGATTGCCTCGATCTTATGTTTCCCATCCTGAAAGGAGTACGGTGCTCATGTCACGATGAGGGGTACCTTAATGTAGAGAGTCCCCAGTATGAATTCTTCTGCTTGACAGATCCTTGATCGCCGAAAGCAGTATTCGAAGAGTTGGGGGGATTCGCATTGTGAAACACCCAGATCGCCGAAGCAATTGAAGTCTCAAGCACTTCACGCACAGCAACGCCTTTTGACCCGTGAAACCCGCATTTGCCAAAACACAAAGCCCCACACCGTGCAGCAAATAATGTAATCGTAAGCTGAAGGGAGCTTTGAATTTCTTGAAGTGCTTGCGGAAAGTGGCGAAAGCTGATTATTGTGCCTTGGCCAGCTTCGTGTCCTCCTCGTGGATCTCAGCAAGGCTGAGTGCCTCAGCAGCGGGTTTCGGTCTTCTCGGAGCTGTTCGTACCAGGCGAGATATACGACAGGCTTTGATCTTTCTTGCGACGTTCCACAGCTGCTGCTTTAGACTCTCGCACCAGTTTGGGTTTGAACCCGTCTAGTCTATCGTACTGTGAAGCAGCAAGTGCCAGGAAGTTTGAGTGCCGGGCTTGCGAACAGAATGATTGACAGACCGACCCTACCAACCAACTGACCGACGCACCGACCACCCCACCCGAGCGACCGAGAGACTCACCGACCCGACCGACAGATCGGAAGAAGAAGTAGTAACAAGCACACAAGCAATCACCCCAATCCCACCCTACAAGCATGCTGCGCTGTGCTGTGGCTCAACTCTTCTTTTCCGCCGTGGCTCACTGCTCAAAGGTTGCCATCCCACGGCGCGCAGCGCACGCCTTTCTCCCTCAGCGCGTTGTAGCGGCGAGTGGCTTCTGCTGTGCCGGCTAGTGAGTTCTTGGCATACTTGGCCATGCCCCTACCGCGCAGGCCTTGCCACTCCTCGAAAATCTGATCCCTCAGAAAGTTCATGGTCGGGGCCAGCATCTCTGCCAGGCCCAAGATTCGCTGATCCTGCGTGAAAGCGGCTGCAGATTTCTTCGCCGTCATCTCCTCGTCACAAACCTCACCTTCAAAGCACCAGTTGTAGACCAAAGGACAGAGCTCCGAATGCAAGATTCTCAATAGACTTGATAAGGACAAAAGGGACCCTGATGCGAAAAACCCTCATGCTCTCATACATATTGCCATCCGCGTCCACCTGAAACTCAACAGTGGTCTCACAAAAAAGCACCGCTCTGTGGTCGCGAGGCCTGTGGTTGAATCCTGTGAGGCCTAATCGTGACATTTCAGGGTCGAAATGGGGGTTTCCGAAAATAGGGGACCCTAACATAGCACCCTAAATAATCGGATCCTTATGATAAGGACCCCAGAATAAGGTACCCCTAGATTTCGGAAAGTCCCAAATGGGTCTAAGGTCTACTGAAAGAAGCGCACAGGGTCTTGCCACGGCACGCTGGCTGCCATGATCGTAGGTCCCAGGATCAAGCGAATCGAGAGGGCTGCAAGTTTGGTACAAATCCCCAGCATGAAGCCAGGAGAAGCTGATCAGGAGGCTCCTGGATGCGGACAAAGGCCGCAGCCCCTTGAGTGCAGAGGTTTGTCGTTAGTTCCTGGAGTGCAGGTGCCACGACTAAGCCACAAGACGAGCCCAAGCCGCCTGCGGATGCCCTCCTCCTGCTCGGCGGGTTCGAGCATTGCACGTAACACAGGACGATGCAGCCAGTGTGCATCCTTCGTCCAGCCCTGTTAAATGCAACAGTTCCCGTGCCCAGGACACCACATGGGCTCCGATCCCAGCTGAGGCCCCTGTAGCTTCACATTTTAAAGACGAAAACAGAGCAGTGAGCAGGATGATATGACCCAAGTCAGCCTTCGCCCCGCAGCGCTGTTGCAGAGTTGCTTCCCATTCGCTGTCAGGCCTTGGGCAGAAAGCTCAGGAGGCCCTGCATGCTCAGCATGTAGCCTCAGAATCCCGGCCCCAGCTCCGCAGCCTGCACCCTGATCACCTCACACGGATTATGAAGGCGCTGCTGAACGGCGCGCAGACCGGAGGGCCACTCGGCTGCGTCCTCGCCGCAGCTCCAAGCAAAAGAATCTCAAGTGAAGCCTTCGACTCAAGCGAGGCCTCCATTGAGGAAAAAGCGAGGCCACCCACAAGACATGGTGGGCACCTCGGTGCTTCAAAAGCTTAATGCGCCCAGAGAGTGGCTTGAGCCTTCCAGGTTTACAGCCGAGCTTCTATCCCCAGCATGACGAGCACTGTTGGCGTGCCCTCGGTTCCAGGCCCGCTCTTCTGAGATCTGTGCGCACGCGCCTGCCTTTGTCGAGGGTGTTCTCGACAGATGTACGGTTGCAGCAACGTTCACGTTCAAGCGTCGTTGAAGATTTGAAGGAAGCCCGGTGATTTGAAGCCTTGCTCCTTTGATCAAGACGTCGTGAGGTCCTGAAGAAAAAAATTTAAAAGGTTCAAGTTAAAGCTTGTGCTTGAGGCGTCTTCGGCGCGGCTGTCCAGATGGACATTGGAGCACTGGAGGACGGGCGTAGGGGTCTCTGAGGCCCAGTCCCTCGACGTCTTGCGGCACGCCCCTAAGACCGACCGCTGCGGCATCTGAGGAGCCTGAATGACGCCGCCTTTGGAGATACGAGTGGAGGAGGAGAGCTGGAACGATGGAGGCGCCAACCTGCCGGGGCTCGTGAGCGGTTTGTTTTGTTTCTTTGCGATAGAGCTCGAGTGGTTTCTTGCACATAAACGTGTGCCACGACTTGGTTGGGGGGGAGGGGTGAGGCACCCAAAGCTGGCAAGGTTGCATTGGACAGGGGCGCGCTTTGACAAGCATTTCAGGAAGTGTGCCGTCTGTGCTCCCCGCTACAAGATCTCCGAAACCGAAAGTATGGCCTACCACATTTTTGAGCCTTCATTGCTATTCCTGTAAAGGCCATCGCTGCCACTTGCATCATCTGCTATCATCTTGTCGCGGAGCCTGACAACGCAAGAAGGCGCCAGGTGCACCGGTTTTTGCCCACCGTGCTCCCCATTACTGCTGCTTTTAGGTGCGGTCGTCGTCGTGATCGTGGTGGTCGTGTTGCTGTGGTTGTCACTTCAACCATGGGCTAGGCATCAATCGGCAGCCGGGGCCGCTGCTTCCTAGCGGATCAGCGGCTACAGGTCCCCACGCACCTCCGCAGTTATCCGCAGTTGGCTCCTTGCAGGTTCACGTTGGAAGTAAGGATCCTGACCGGCCATGGAGGAGAAAACTGAGCGTGGGATCCAGCGTCGGCCGTTATCATCGGAGAAGCTTGTGGAAGGAGGCTCAGCTGTGGGCAAATCGTCCTCCAGCTCTCACATGAGCAGCCCGTCGCCACGGAACTCGGGCAGCAGCCGCTTCAATGTGGACGAGTTGGAGATGGGCACGCCATGTCCAATCGAAGCTGCCTCCAAGAAAACGAAGAAGAAGCAGAAGTCAAAGACTTGCAACAAAAGGAGCAAGCCCCCGACCCCTGGTTTCGATCTGACGAACGACCACGGCCATGAAAAGAACACAGTGGTTAACTTCATGCAGTCCCGCCCTGAGTTGGCGTGTGCAGTTGTTTTCTTGGGGGCTGATGCAGGGCTGCCTTACGCCAACCCATCCTCACCAAGCCTGGATTCCTTGATGGAGNNAGGGTTCCAAGAGTTTTGATTGTTTTTCTGTTGCATTGGGGCCAGCTGGCCCAGGCTGACCGTGAACCTGGAGGCCTCTTAATCCTGAGCAGAGTGGGGTGTGAACGGGATAGCGCAACTGGTTGCACTTGGAGATCAAGGTCGTAATTCCATCTATGCACACGCCGAGGCGAATACTCCACTGACAGACCTAGCTCATGCAGTAATAAGTCCTTTGTGTCAGATAACCTTGTAGTAAGCACCATGGAGCCTTTTAAAGGAACCCCAAAGGAGCAACCCTACTCAAACCCAAAGGGCTCTGAATGTCCCTATACCCTGGTTCAAACTGCGAAACCCAAAATCCTGAACTCTAACCCATACTGATGTTTGGGGTTATCAACTTTTTTTTTGTCTAAACTCTGTGGTTGAACGTAGCCCCAAGGCGCTTGAAGCACGCGCCACGTGGCAGTAACGGTGCCCATGAGCTGGGAATTAGCTATCACACCGTGGAGGTAAAGGAGGACAACGCGTGCTGCCACCAGTCAACCTTGATCGTCACAACTGAAGACAGGCACGGAGTTCCCTATGCATGGAGTGGGCAGGAGTTCAGGGGCGAGGCCGTACGGAAGGCATGGGCGGAGAATGCAGCAGCCAGAGCGTTTCTCGCAGATGGTGCAGTTCAAAAGACGGCTGCTAACATGGATCCGGCCTATGCAAAACAGTCTTCCCCGTCCCACAAGCGCAGGCCGCCAATGTTGGCAAGAGTGTTGTAGATGTGCATGACTCCGCCAGTGCCAAGAGGGCCGCGGCAGCTGCGGAGAGACAAAAGCGTACCTGCATACTGTCATCATTGATGTCCAACGCAGGACAGTCTGTCAGCCAGACATTTCCCCCGTTTTGGCCGGGACCCTCATTGAAGCAGTCAAAGCAACAAGCTGTCTCTTGCTGGTTTATTCAAGCAGGGCTTCTTGTAAGGCTGCAGGGCGACTTCGGAATGGGTAGTTGGTTGGCCGATGCAAAAACTCAGACCGCTGCTGGTTGATCCTACCAGGAGACGGGCAGGGAGTGGGTG